TCAGTGTGCGGCAGCGCTTTCGAGCTGGATCGATTTCATGCTTTTCCAGTCGCTCAAAACACTCAAAAACGTGGCACACATTGAAACCTTCAGAACGCTGACGCAAAGTCTGAAAGTACTAACCCAGATCCTACCTTAATTCATCATTGTCTGCTAGATCATCACATTTGGAAAGAGCTAGATATCGCCGCATATGACCTGTGCGGGGTGTCTGTAAAAAGTATCTGTGCTACGAAAAATGCACGAAAATGTATGCATAAAAAACGCAAAAGTGTTCGATCAACAAATTTGCTGAAAACTTGTTCTTAGCGCTAGTTCAACACCCTGAGCATGAATGTCACCTGGCCTGAAACAACCCGGCGCCCGCGCTAACGGCAAAGTATCTTCACTCACCAAAATCGACAAAAAGTTGTGTATGGGGTTATTTGACATACTGATTACAACATGAGATTAGTTCTTGGCACCGGCGCTAATTGAGGACAGTACGATCATTTGCGTGTGTTAAGGCTGAGCGTGGCCTGAAGGGAATCACGCCTTCTCCCGGGCTATCTCAGCAAATCGCTAAGTTAAAACGAATGCTATATTCGTGATTAGGGCATCAAACAACCCCATTATGCGAGAGCCATTATCGCTGAAAAAGTGTGCGGCGCCAAATTAGCGCCAGTGGCGCCAAATATCGTTAGGGTCGGAAATGAATGTCTGTTCGTGATCAGGGCACCGAAAAACCCCAGTATGCAAGCTTACACTGATTTTGGTAAGAAACGTGTTGTGTTGAGCCCAATTAGCGCCTAGTGGCGCCAAATGGCGTCAGCGTCAAAAACGACTGTCACACTCGTAGTCAGGGCATCAAATGACCCCTATAGGCCGTTTCAGCAACTTTTTCCCGAGTTTCTGAGTAAGTTATAGTTGAATTGTAATGTCACTTCAAATTGAAAATAACTACAGAACGTGCTTATCATACGAATTCTTTTCTGGAATAATGCTTGCTTCACCCTTTACCAATTTATTGTTCTTTTTTCCACCTTAAGTGTGCCTTTTTTTAAGGTAGAGAGAACACTTTTCGTCCCGAATGCGCGAAATGCTTACTGGGGCGAAGAATGCGTTTTCAGATTCCACAATGTTCGAATTACGGACTTGAATTACCGACTGTTCAATTAGAACCACTTGCATGCCCTTGAATTACCAGTCGTCTTATCAACAGCTGGTTTCATATCGTCGAATCGCTACTATTTTCACCAGCGCTCAGCTTTATATTGTTAATTAATTCTAATACTATAGTACTGGAGGATAGTGGTCAAAGGCACGCCCCGGTCACAAATGGTGAGCTGTACGGCTCATATACTAATAACAAGACGGCGAATAATACAAAGGTGAAGAAAAAAGCAGAAGAAACCAGCACTCAAAAACGGAAAGCTGGGCGCTGCCGTGGCTAATGAGCGGACCTGTGGCTTTATCGCGAGCGTGCTGCGTTTTGTTCACGCATTTTCGAGCTGGGGAAGTAATATACATCCATGCTTGGACTAGTCTACCACGTCCAAGGAGGTGTCTGCGCATCGAATGAACGCAGGACATGCCTTTAATTATATGTACGAAAACCAATCAAAGGGATAGAATATTCAAAGAAAATAGAGCAAATACTGTCTTGTTAATTTTTGCACGCAATCACAGACAATGCAAAAAAATGCGCAGTATATGCCTGAAAATACGGCATGCCGGACACTCGTTTTCAATAGAATAAATAAATAATCCTTTCATTCTATAAACCAGTAACTTTGTGTGTCGGTTTGTATGTTTGTATGTATGTAGGTTTGTAGGTATGTATGTATGTATGTTTGTCTGTCCGTCCGCAAAATACTTCACGGGTTCGAGTTCGCTGGAGGCGAAAACGACCGCTAGGCAAACCGGTAACCGACTGGGAGGATGTAGCAGTCCAATGATTTGATTGTGATAACAGCCTCCGCTATATAAGACAACCATTCGGTACACTCCGAGCCATTGCACGAGCTGCTGCCGTGGCAGCTGGACGTGTGCTCGTGCGGGGGCAGGGTGGGGTGCCCCTCCCCCCCCCCCCCCCCCCCCCCCCCCCCCCCCCCCCCCCCCCCCCCCCAGTCACCCTGCCTCCCTCTCCTGCACGTGCTCAGCCGGAGCTGGGCACATGTATGGGTGGGAGGCAGAGCGAAGGGGTAGCGGGGAGGGGGGCACAGTGAGGGGTGCGTAGCGCGCGTTCCAGTAGACGCGCACCAAGGGATGAGGAAACAACCGCTAACAAAACTGCAAGCCATTCTATGTTACCGTAACGAACTAAGAAGTTGTTTTGGTTGTGATAACACTCTCCACGATATAAGAAAACCACTACACTCCTGAGCCATTGCACGGTTGCCTTTTCGCCGTACGCAGTTGGACGTAAGCGCATGCAAGGGGCAAGGTGGGGGGGGGTGGAGTGGCGAGTACGGAATGGGGTGAGGTGAGGAAGGTGGGAGTTAGTATCGAGTGACCCCCTTCTCCCATCCTCACTTCCTTGCGCGTACTCAGTCGGATCTGCTCCATGCAGGGGAAGGAGGCAATGGATTGAATCGGGCAAACTGGGTACAGTAAGGGGATGCGTAGCGTACGCTTGAATAGGAGCAGGCGGCAAGAGAGAAGGAAAGAACCGCTAGCAAAACTGCAAGCTAATCCATGTTACAGCAACGAACTAAGAAGTTGTTTGGATTGTGAATCGCTCCCCTATCTAAGCCAACCACTGTGATATACTCTGTGCTACTGCAGGAGCTGCTCGCTGGGGAGCTGGACGTGAGCACGAGCAAGGCGGTGGTAGGAACAGTGGCGGCGTAGTGTCCCTATGTTGCATGGCGGCTGCATACCACGTGCGGGAGTGGGTGCCGGTTGAATAGGGTCAGTGGGATATGATGTGGTGAGGGGATACCAGAAAGAGAAAAACGGCGATTTCGCGATTAGGAGCACATAGCCCCTGCGGCTGTAAGGCGTCTACGGTTGCGACAAGATGGGAAGAAAATGGATCGACCGCAATTGGATCTGAACCGATTAATGTTGCATTACCAAATTGTGGTAGCGTTTTGATAGTCATAACACCCTCCACAACATAACACAACCATTTAGTGCACTCAGAACCATTGCACGGGCTATTCGCGTAGCAGCTGAGTGTGACCTGTAGGGTGGCTGAGCGGGGAATAGCTGAGGTTAGTTTGGGGATAGGTGAGGTGAAGGGGTACCATATTGGCGCGACCGACGCTCGCCTGAACAGGAGCACGCAGCGACTGCGGAGACCGAAGAATCCGTGGCTGTCATAAGATGGGGAGGACAGTAATCGATTATCCATGACCAGATTTTAAACTTTTCATTATAAAAGTGCCCTGCAACTATATGGCGCGTTCCTACATTTATTTGATTAGAAGACACCGGTTAGTCACCATGAGAGCACCATAAATGCCTAAGACAGTAGTATCGCCCTGCTTATGCCTTACTTTGCTCCTTTCTTTCACGAGTTAAGAAGTGAGGCTCTAAAGCAGTTGCATGAGCCCGGCGAAGCCGGGCTTCCAAGAAGGAGGAGAGCTCGGCGTTAGCCGGGCGATCCGACTGGTATTATTTATAAAATGAGTAGTAACTATCTCCCACTCTACCGTATGATCCACGGTCTATGCTGTTACGCTTATTGATTACCTCTCAAAGTATGTAATATTAAAGGATTCCTGAGCTTCATTGTATTGTAAGTCTTCTTTTGGGTTGATGGAATGAAACTCTTCTAAGTCTTTTATTTCTCTCAAAGTATGTTCATTCTTCGCGACTCTAGCGATTCAGTCTCAAATGTCGAGCGACCGCGACCGATGGCTCCACCTCTCATCATCCTTGGATTCTGCGGTTCTAAATTCACCCCTGCTTCGACTTTTCTCTACTTCACTACTTCATACCTAAGCTGTTGACAGTGAGAAAGCATTGAGGCGCTTTGCGATCGCCCGAATGGAGCGCGCGACCGCGGCCGGGGTCGCTCCTCCACCAAACGTCGCACCACGCAACGACACAATTCATCTGGCACTTGGACAACGCAACTCAGTTCGAATTCTGGCACGATCCAGTCGAGCAATCCAGTCGCGCAATCGCGAAGACTGAAGAACGCGGTCTCAGACAAATGATCTGAAGATGTTTTACTCTAAATGCCACTGAAGCTTTTCTCGTGGGTCAACGATTAGCGGAGGCCGCCATCGCTCCACATGAACGACCAAATCAATCAAGTCGCGAAGTATGAATGCGTCCTAACCACAACGAATACAGTCCTCATCATTACGTACTATCGGAACGGCACAGCCGCGCTGCACTGCGACGCGACAGCGGCTGCGGCTCAGTGACGGGGAATTAGATGGAAGTCGGCTGCAAATTCCCACTTTTTCAGCTCTTCCCGCTTGAAGATGAGTTATTCTGACCACTGAATTGTACTGGCTCTGATTTCCTTTATTTTTATGTCGATTATTATGCTCTTTTCCTTGTATTTTGCCTTATTTCAGGCATTTATTCAAATGGCTTGCATTCTTTCAGTGTCAGTACAATTCAAAATTGGTCAGAATAACTCACCTTCCACTTTAGAAGCTTGAAGAGCTGAAAAAGTGGGAATTTGCAGCCGAATTCCATCGAAATCAGCTGATTCACCGTCACCGAGCCGCAGCCGCTGTCGCGTCACAGTGCAGCGCGGCTGTGCCGCCCCGACAGTACGTAATGATGAGGACTGTACAGCAGTGGCGACTTATGAGTTAAACCAAGATTGTACAATTCAAACTTTTCTTTGAAAAAAAGTTAGCCAGAAGTTATCTGAAGGGTAGCTCATTCGCACGACTTCTCTCCCCTTCGTGCTAGCTGCTGACCGGACTTATAGAACTGATAACTTCTTTCTTATGCCAGACTCACAATAAAAAATAAAATAAAAAACAAGTATAATATATAATGGCTACCCTTGAGTTTTCTGTTGCGCAATGTTTTGATGAACAACTTACAGATATAAATGACGGACTCAAAGCCGTCGTTTGGACTTGTACTGGCTCAGCTGTATCAACCATCTCACAGTGATGTTGCACGGCTTCAGCTAACGTGGTAAATTTCCCCGCATTTAAATAGAAAAAGCGTCCGAGCTGATGTATCCTGGAAAAACGGCAAAGCTTAGAGTAATCAGTCTTATTTATGAAGTAGTCTATCAGTCCCTACTTCAAAAAAAAAACGATTCGTATTTCATATTCAAAAGGAGCAATGTAAAAATAGTGAAGAGTGCTGAAAATTGTACTCACGGTAAGTGCAGCAGTAAGTGATTGTCGGTCACACAAGAGAGGAAGTACCGAGTAGGTCCAGCTTTACGCACGAGAAATCGACCCGGTTGGGCGACATCGAGTAACACCTCAGCCTCCGTCTGCGAAATCTCGCCATGATACCAAGGACGACCCGCTGACTCCGACGGTGAGACAATTTGAGACTTGAAATGGGAGAAAATTTCAACAAAGCGTTCGATAGTATAACCCTATAGAAAAATTTTTAGAACCGTTCAGATAAGGGTGCTTATAGAGTGGAATCAGTTATTTTTTCCTTCGGTATGAATCAGAATAACTAGTAGGCTCGAAAAATTATAGCAGCACAGCCTAATACAAATCGATCAACGATGAGGCTGCATTCACACATTTCCGCATGAAAGAGCAGGACCAGAACGCACGAAAAGGATTCAACGGTATGCCCTGCGTTCTCGCGATGGCGCCGAACCGTTTGCACCTATAGCGCGCTACACAACGATATTCGCGCAGAACAGGTGTGAGATTTTGGTTCAGTGGTCAGATAACCCCTGGAGACGCCATTCTAGCAGAATTAGAGATTGCACCTCAACTTCGAAAATATGGGGTGGGCTAGCTACGGCTAAATGGTGGCCAAGGGGATACCAGGGCACCTTATTACCAATGAGTTGTCTTCGAGCTGAATTAACTCTCAAGTCATGAACACATGAATCACAACATTTCTATGCAAAACCTTTGTAATATGTGTTACGAGAGGGGATAAGCACAAGCAAGCACTTAGGCCGCAATTGGTCTAAATTTTGAAAAAATCTGATCCCGATCGCAGGTTTTCTTACAAGCTAGTGCAGGCGAGCAGTGCTATGAGAAGCTCTGGCGGCCACGTACAAGAAAAATGCAAAGGAAGGGAACCTCACGGGGATCGATCCGAGGACTTCTTGCCGGTGATACCCGTTCGCTAGCAGCTGCGCTCCACTACCGTGTAGCAGTATCACCCTCCACATATATGTAAGGACATTTCCGCGTTCCCCCGTCATAGTACATATGTAAAACAATCACGCAGGAAAAAAAAATTTTCATAGTCTGTCCAGAAAGGCGTTCCGCTAATTTTGAAGGCAGATTTAAGTTCATGGTCTCAAGACGCGAATAACGGTGTGCACCTCAACGCAAATGGTCGCATCGACCTGTTGACCTCCCCTGGTGAGACAAAACCAATCGGCATGTATTTTTATGCGATTTTCGACCCTCCTAGCCTGCACTTGGGCCGAGTTAATCAATACGTTCTCCTGTTTCACAAGGAATGAATGCGGAAACACGCTCTCATGGAATTCCAGAGAGCTGAAGAAAAATCACAGGGAGCTTATGATAAGACCACTGAGACGGACCACAGTTGGACCCAATATACAAGAGCACTGCAATAAAGAATGTTCAAACGAACTGGCAATCGCGAGCTGGACGACGACGTCGACTGCAGCATAGATGGGTCGTCGTCGGGGCCATCCGGGCACGATGAGGACGCAATCTCATTCGATGGGAGCATCTTCATGCGCTATCATGTTGTTACGCTTTCTATCATAAAGTACCTAAACGATTAGCTATGGTCGCTCCAGTGAAATATCCCTAGAGAATCGTCGGGCGAGAAACGAACTAGCTATGAATTCACACAGCTCAGAAAACCAATCATAGCAATCATGTAGGAGCAAGACAGTTAATTTGTGGACAAGGTATCGTTTCTATAGACTCATAGAGCGAGAAATTCAAAAGGTCCAATGTAAAACTGATAAGCAAACCAATTTAAATCCTGCAAGATAACAGAAACCATGAAGTCAGTGCTAAAGGGACTGATACAATAATAATATTGGTAAGTAAAAAAAGAGAGACACACAAATGGGCAAAGAAAAGTGCATGCGATTGCACACATCGATCGTTTCCAAGAACGACAACATCGATAACACAGGAAGTCACGTTGAGAACAGGAAATGGAACCATCACAAACAGTAAAGTCAATGATGTTAATGACGGTAGGCTGAGAGTAGCAGACACAAGAAGGCAGAATTTCGTCTGCTGACTGAAAAACAACTATTTCTAGAAAAAAACATCAAAGAAAATACTAGAAACAGCGCAGTAGGACCAAATCCGGGCGTAACACGCCCTTCTTGCTGCACTTTAACGCGTGATTTCTCTCATTAAATGTTACTTCTTTCCATCTCATTCTACTGAATCTCTCATTTTCAGCGATACCTGCGCGGTCACTGCTCAATTCTGAGAATTCTTTGCAAAGGTACACTTGAATTAGTACTACCGCGACTTGACGTAACCTTGTTACTTTTCATTATTATGAAACGAGACGGAGGATGTCACTGAAGGTTTCCCCCACTCCCTCCTCCCTTTTGGAAGGGCCCGGAATCTAAAAAACTTCACTCCTTCACGTTAAAGACAGTTCCCGCGATTGAGTATCATGGGCAGTTTCTGTTCAATTATGAACTAGCAGCCAATAAATGATTCCTCAAAGAAGAAAAAGGCAAAAAAAGCATTAAGAATTTCCAAGTAACACCATGAACAATATCGCTCCCTGACAGTCACACTGCCCTATGGTCTCTGTGCAACGGGTATGTGGCAAGAGAATCGCAATTCGCCGCGCCAGTGGGCGTCGCGTGCGACGTCGCGCCTGCTAATGACGACGATTTTAGGTGGTAGTGGTCGAGAATAAACAATACGTGACCAAAAGTCGATGTGAGCGTCTACAAGATCCGATGCTGCAATCGAAAGGGCAGTGCAAATTACGGAAATGTCGTGCCCACTGCCGCGCGCGACGAAGCGGCAATCTACAGTCCTCATCATTGCGGACCGGTGGGGCGTGTCAGCCAGTATGAGTGTGCACACTGTTGAAGCCGTTCTCAGCCTTTTTGTTGAAACGCGTATGCGACAAAAAGTGGTAGAAAACGAGTAATACGGAGGATATAATACAGTCATATCATTTGCTCGCTTTAAATACTGGTGGAGAGCGGGTTTGGCACCGCGCCAAACGCAGCCGCACTGAACCGCCCCGACAGTACGTAATGATGAGGACTGTACGATTGTTCATCCTCTCCCCCTCCGCTGTGCAAGCTCTGGCTCACAAATCGCTGGAAAACGAAAAACAAGAAAAACACTAACGCAAGACAGAAAGTAACTTTCGAAGACTCTGCGAACGAAACTAGGATTACGGTAGCAGTGCACGTCGAGCTTTTGCACCAAAAATTGCATCACTGTCGATTTCGGCGAGTCTTACCTATTACCGAGATGGGTTGTTGTGACTGTATGTGCTTCTACTGAAGAAAATGTTGATGAAGGGGAAAAGAATTACTTATGAGCACGAGCGCAGTCGGCAAAAATGGACACGCGTTTCAGATTTGTGCCCGACGCCCTAACAAACACAACTGAGCGCCGCTGCGTTAGGTGTAGAGGGGAAATTCGTTTGGGTGGGCGGTCCAACTGAGCGGGTGTTGGAAATAGAGCTTTCGGCGCCTCCTCACTCGCTGTGGAGTCGAAAGTGGGCCTGTATCTAAGCTCGGTTGCACAAAGAAGGAGGAACGCGAATTACTTAAGCGCTGGGTCTAGCTTTCAGAAAACGCAGCGGGTAAATTCGTCAAAACAAAAACGCAGTTTAAATGGCTGAAGGGAGGGATCTGCTAAAAATTGAGCACTATGTTGCAGCAATGGTCCTCTTTATTGGCATTAGCTAAAATTAGCTGAAAAAAGTGTGAGCGACACGGCTCTCCACGCCTTCGGAAGAGTTCAGAGTTCGATGATGAGCGTCAACGCACCACGACACACAGACATTACAGTAGTGCTCCTACAACAATGCGTAACGATCGGCGCCGGCCGCTAGCGTTTTGGTAGATGGTAGAAGAATAGGTGAGTATCAGACTGGGCGATTAGACAATGCGTGGCTTTCTGTCGCGGGCAGTGTCTTTGCGAGTAAATTGGTCTCGTAACCCAGAAATTTTTTTTCTTTCACGGGTCTCACATGTTCCCGGAGGACTTGAAAAAAAAGGCAAAGAAGGAAAGTAATAATATAGTGCTAACAAGTTGTGTGTTAATGGCACTGTTCGGCTTGAGAAGGCCATTTTACTTTTCGCTGGTTCATTTTATAACTAACTGTTAATGGTATTACCTTGGTGAGCCTTACAAACTTGTGAAGTGATAAAAGTGAGCCTACAAAATGTTACAGATCCTTAAAAGGTGGCCGAAGTTGTTGGGAACCATTTAGTGCTCCCACCAAGTCGAAATGCCTCATTTCAATAATGAGAACGATAATGACACTTGTCGATTCATAGGAAATGCACTTGTCAGCCAGGTTATAACAAAAATCAGCGAAAGATGAAAGAGAAATGGATGAATCAGGACGCAAATATCAAAACATATAACCATAGGCCCTGATTTATGGTGCTTATGGTATCTTCTGCGAATAATTCATTTGATCGATTTGCAGATACAGAAAAATGCGACTCTGGGAAGCCGTGGGCGTACACGAAAAAAGACGTGAATAATTGCATTTTATGCAAACATTGAATCACATACTCCACTTATCTTTTGGATCGTATGTGCAACTGTAAAGTGCACCATCATTCAGTGTTTCTTTCGCGCAAGCAAAGATTCACAACTAGAGAAGCTGGACCAGTCGCCTTTCTGAATGATGCATCACATAGACGTTTCCGGCCACTAGTTCGCAAAGTTGAAATACGTATTGATCCAACGAGTGGACGTAACCGACGTAACTGGCGCAACTTTCCTAAGACTGGATACGTATCGACCCGACGTAACCGACGTATTCGATGTAGGCGACGCAACCGACGTCAGTCGATACGTATCTAATTTTCTGTCGCCGGTTAAATTACGTCGACTTATCGGATCGATACGTATCTAGTCTATAGTCGCCCATTACATCGGTTACGTCGGTTACGTCGATCATGGCGATTACGCCGGATCTATGTATCTACTCTTCTGGACGTAGCCGCCGAAAACGTCGGTTGTGTGGCTTACGTCGTTACGCCGGTTACGTCAGTTACGTCGGATCGATACGCATCCAGTCTTCGGAAGGATGTCGCCGGTTACGTCAGCTACGTCGAGGTATGAACGCAGCGTAATCGCTGGAACCGCTGGTGCACGCCCAAAACGCTGGATCTATGCCTATACTTTCCTTGTCGAACAAAAGGTATGAAGGCACTCGAGCTGTAGATACTGCGAACCCAGCTGGGTTAGATAATGTGATGGCTGCTCAAATTGACTGAGATGGTTTTTTTCAAGTGGTCGAGAAAAAAGCTGGATACCGAAATAAGCGAGAAAAAGTTTCGTGCAATAAAAGCACTTTCTAGTTTTCAGAATTTTTGTTTCGCAATAAGTCTTTGGGCCACACAATGCCCATGTGTGCCACATTCAGATTCTTATGGGGCCCCGGGATTGCAACATA